TTTCCCTTAGACTTGCTTCCCATGGGACCTTACCTTCCAATTCCCTGAATTTGCTAATGCCTGTCTTCCTGAAGTCTATTGTTCTTACTCTGCTGTTTTCCCTCCTACCATTTCTTATAATCATGAACTCTATCATTTCATGATCATTTTCATCAAAGCTGCCTTCCACTTTCAAATTTTCAACCAGTTCCTCTCTCTTTGTCAGAATCAGATCTAGAACAGTTTCTCTCTGTTGCATTCTCACCTTCTGTAATAAAAACCTGTCTCTAGTGCATTCCAAGAACTTACTGAATAGCCTGTGCCCTGCTGTATTATTTCCCAACAGACATCTGCCGGGATTTCAGCAAGGTATTTGATACAGTTCCACATGGGAAATTATTAAATTGGAGAAGATGGAGATTAATATGAGAACTGAAAGGTGGCTAAGGAACTGGTTAAAGGGAGACAACAAGTTATACTGAAAGGTGAACTGTCAGGCTGGATGAAGGTTACTAGTAGAGTTCTTCAGTGATCAGTCTTGGAAACTATCTTATTTAACATTTTTATTAATGATTTTGGCACTAAAGTGGAGTATGTTAATAAAATTTGTGGATTACACAAAGTTGAGAGGTACTGCAAATATTAAGGAGGACTGGAATATCATACAAGAAGATCTGGATGACTTTGAAAACTAGAGTAATAGAGATGGGATGAAATTTAATAGTGCAAAATGCAAGGTCACGCACTTTGGGATTAAAAAGAATTTTTGCTATAAAATGGGGATCAATTAGAAGTGACAAAGAAGGAGAAAGACCAGGGTGTATTGGATGATCACAGGATGACTATGAGCTGCTAACGTGATGCAACTGTGAAAAAAGCTAATGCAATCCTAGGATACATCATGTGAGGTATTTCCAGTAGAAAGACAGGGAAGTGTTAGTTCCATTGTTCAAGGCACTGGTGAGACCTCATCGGGAATACTATGTGCAATTCTGGGCTCCCATGTTTAAGAAAGATGAATTTAATTTGGAAGGGGTGCAGAGAAGGGGCTACTAGGATGATCATAGGAATTGAAAACCTACCTTTGAGAGGAAACTCAAAGAGCTTGGCTTGTTTAGCCTGACCAAAAGAACGTTGAGGGGAGATAGGATTGTTCTGTATACATACATGAGAGGGATAAATGCCAGGAAGGGAAAGTAGTTAAAGTTAATCAACAGTGTTAACAAGAACAAATGGCTATAAACTGGCCATGAACAACATTAGGCTTGAAATTAGATGGTTTCTGACCATCAAAGGAGTGAAGTTCTGGAACAGCCTTCCCAAGGGAGTAGTAGGGGCAAAAAACTTAACTGGCTTCAAGACTGAGCTTGATAAATTTATGGAGAGGAAGGTATGATGAGACTGCCTACAACAGCATGCAGCCAATCTGCATCTGCTAGTAGCAATATATCCAACAGCTAATGATGGGACACTAGCTGGGGAGGACTCTGAGAATTCTTTCCCAGGTGCCTGGCTGCCCACATGTTCAGGGTCTAGCTGATTGACATATTTGGGGTTGGAAAGGAATTTCCTCCCAGGTCAGATTGGCAGAAACCCAGGGGGGAAGGTTTGCCTTTCCCTGCAGCATGAGGTACGGGTCACTTGCAGGTTAAACTAGTGTAAAAAGTGGATTCTCTGTAACTCAAAGTCTTTAAATCATTATTTGAGCACTTTAGTAACTCAGCCAGAGGTTATGGGTCAATTACAGGAGGGGGTGGGTGAGGTTCTGTGGCCTGCAATGCATAGGAGGTCAGGCTAGATGATTAGGATGGTCTCTTCTGGCCTTAAAGTTTATGAGTAGTCTTGGTAGTTGAAGTCCCCCATCACCACCAAGACCTGTGCTTTGGACGATTCCTTGTGCTTAAGTAAATTTGTGAGTCACCTGTAAGGTCAAACTTAATCACAGGATGTCAGTAATGCCTGACACAAGGTGTGCTCCCTAGCATCATCTTCACTGCCTGACTAGAGCATGCCACAAACATGTGATGCTCTACACCAGCAGTTCTCAAACTGTGGGTCAGGACCCCAAAGTGGGTCGTTAACCCACTTTAATGGGGTCGCCAGGGCTGGCTTTAGACTTGCTGGGGCCTGGGGCTGAAGCCAAAGCCAAAGCCCCACTGCCTGGGGCCAAAGCCCGAGACCTACGGCCCCACGGCTGAAGCCCGGCCCCACGGCTGAAGCCCAGCCCGTGGAGCTCAGGCTTTAGCCCCCCAACCTGGAGCAGTGGGACTTGGGTGGAGTCAGGCTTTGGTCCCCCTTCCTCGGGTCGTGTAGTAATTTTTGTTACCAGAAGGGGATCGCAATGCAATGAAGTTTGAGAACCCCTGCTCTACACCAACAGAGCAAGTGGGCAAATAATGAGGCTGCTATAATGAGGCACTCTCTTGTTAACAGGATGTATGCTCTTTCCCGTTGATCACGGATGGCATTTAGAAATCAAGGAGCTTACCAGCAAGCACCTGGATGACAAAAGTCCAGCACCAGATAATATGTTGCAGGCATGTGAAAAGTCAAACAGGGAGGTATTCCTGTCTTGCTGTTGGGTTTTCCTGCACAGGCTTGTGTAAGTGTCAGAAGTGTGAGAACATTGACAAAAAAGCTGCTGAACCTGTCATTCACAATGACAATGTGTCCAACAAGAGAGATTTTGAAAGCAGACGGTCAGAGTGGGAAATAAAAATGTATTTTACTCAGGGAATAAGTACTACAGCGCCAACAGCAATAAATAGTTCAAAATGAACACTAGATTTGAATAAGAAAATAAAATGTTGATTTATATAGATAATCACATCAGTTCATACCAGTCCAGATAAGTTGTCACAGTCTTAAAAATATTTAAGAAATAAATGTCATATACAAGAGAATTCCAGTAAAAAGGTTTGTGTTTTTCTTTTCTCAGTGCTGTTGCTGAGAAAAATATACTAGCTGACAAATAAAATAGTAATATTTTAGGTATTTGCATAGAAAAATGTATCAAATGTATTAAATTTATCATTTATCATTAAATGTAACAGTGAGGCTGGCGTACAAACACTTCTCTTAAGGGAAAATAGCAAAACAGTCCAGCCTACAGTAAAGGGTTAGTATTGCCATGAAAAACAAATTATGGGGTCGGGCAATACTTGCTATCAAAAGACAGACGTGGTAATTTACTGCACATTATCTGTTAGACTGATGATTGTAGAAAATATTGATGCATAAAACATCCCAGGAGGGCAAGAATTTTTAGTTCTTTCATATATTTTATTGCCCATAAATAATTTTCACTCAAATTGGCTATTTGCAATATTTTTTTCTTGTGTGTGACTTCTACGTTTTTCAGTCCATTCAGTTCTGCCTTTAATACCACTTCCATATACATTTCTATCATTTTCAGACAATTTGGGCCTTTAAAGGGCAAATATTAACGAAGTTATGGACAAGAACCCTTTGTCAGTATAGTGTCAAATTGGTAACTTTGGACGCGCCATGACAGAAAAATCCAGGGCCTCTTGGGGAGAACTTTTAACAGGTCTTTCAGGCTATTGGCTATATAAATCTGCAGAGAGTATGTAGTGCCCCGCCAAGCTCATTTTCTAAACACAATAATTGGTATTATTGCACTGATTTAGTTATCAACAATTCAATTATCCAGTGCAGAGATTCTTAAACCGTGGTCTGTGAAACATTTGCTGTGGTTCCCAGAAAGCTGACCAATTATATGGTGCAGGTGTCTGGGGATATGGGAGAGTTAATGGGAGCACTGGATTTAAAGTCATACTAATATATACTAAATGAATCATCAATTTGTAGTTTATAACTCCTAAACACAAAAAGTGATGAGTACTGAAGAAACTTGATCCCAGAAACATATTTCATATTTTAATAGCACAGGGTTTTTAGATCATGAGTGGCTTGACTTGCTTATCAAAATAAGATGAACCAGAGATCTCTACCTTTAAACCTAGGTCACTGACAAACTTTTAAAGACAATTACATTAATCGCCTTTATGTTAACTTCTCTGTGCAACACAGTACTGAAAAATTTGAAGCTTATCACTGATAAGAAACCAACTACACACAACAATCAAATGGGCAGGCAGAAAATAACTTCAGATCATTAATATGTAACTTTACATTTTGGCAGAAACAAGAATAATTTAGGTCAAGTATAAAAGGCACACATTTCCTCTCCCTTCCATTTAGGCATGGAATAAGGAGGAAAATAGATCATAACTGAAGAGGTAAGTTTCTCTTTAGTGATTACCTCTAAAAGCATCGCTTACACTCTCTCTCTGGGGAGATAGATAATTGTGCTGTGTGTGCTTGTCTCTCTAGGTGGGAATTTTACGTTGTGTGTGTTTCAATAAGACATTCAGAACCACAGATTTTTTTGCAGTTTCCTTCCAATGCAGCCCCTGTGACAAGTATTTTATTAGTCAGGCCAGAGGCCTTGGTGCCTCTGTACAGCAGCATATGCACAGATGGCACCCATAATAACCAACCGAAGGAGCTGTTTGAATCACGTCAGGCAGACACCAACTCCTCATTGTCCACAGGGCTCTGACCAGTGAGCATTTCCATCCCCTTTGTGTGCGTGTCTCTGTCCTCCGTGACGGAGTGCGGCTCCTGAGAGCGCAGTGGCACTGTAGGCAAGGCTCAGCACAGCCCACCCGCATGCCTACCCCTTGGTCCCAGCTGTCTCTGCCCCTCCCCCAGACAACAAAGCCAGGAACAACGGGGGCTCGCGCGGGGTGGGCAGGCAAAACAAGTTTGAGGCGAAGAGCTGGGGCCAACTCAGAGCGTGGGGAAGGGGCGGACCAGAGCTGATGGTGACAGACCCGGGCGGGGGGGGGGACAGACAGGGCAGACAACAGAGTGGGGAGGGCCCGCACCAGGGGGCAGGCGGGGAGAGCGTCTGGTACCAGACAGCAGGGGCCGGGGGGGGGGGGCTGCCTGGCAGCAGGGGCCGGGCCGGGGCCGCTTGTGTCGGTGCCACTTACCCACATCCTGGTCAAAGGGGTTGGTGGCGAAGAGCGGCATCTCGGGTCCGCGCGCTGGGGGTGGGGAACAGCCTCACCCTCCCCTCCCGGTCGCGGGGTACGGTGTGTAGCGTGTGAATACGATGGAGGGGCGGGGGGGGGCTTGGCAGCGGCCTTAGCTCCTCCTCCCTGTCAGGACACAACTCAGGAGCCGCCTCTCCGTGATCGCAGAGCATGCTGGGAAAAATAGGGTTGCCGATTCCAGTGCCTGACCCGAAGACTCCTTTCAGCACAGGCACAAAGGGCTGGGAGGGGCTCTTCCCTCCCGCTGTACGTTAAACCCGGTACTTTCATTGCCACTATCTCCCCAGGATGGGTCGTTGGATGGGGCACTGGGTCGGCCAGCAGAGGAGGCCCCTCAGGCGCTCTCAGGCCAGCTATGCCCCTGACAGTCGGTGACTGACACACACACACACCCCTCCCGTCAGACTGAAGCGAGGGGGAGCCGGGACGTTACACCTGCTGGCAGGTGGCCCAGGCAGGGGCGCCTTGCAGCGGGACAGTCCCACGCGGGGGGTGCTGTCCCTTTAAGGCGTCGGGAGGGAGAGGGGCTCGTCCCCCACCCACTGGCGGCTCCCGGGCCTTGCGCCCCTGCGGCCTCCCCCGCGGCACCTGCTCCCAGGCCCCGCGTTTCCAGGGGGGCAGCTCCCGCATCTTAGCGGCAACGGCGGGGGCCCCGTGACTGCTGATGCTGACGTGATTTGCACGAGGGATGGGGTCACGAGGCTGGCCCGGGCACTGCCCTTTGTACCACATGGCTGCATGGTTACAGCTGCGTGCTGTGGGTGGAGGGAGCAGCAGCTCCAGAGCCGACGGCCTGGCAGATGAGGGGCCCCTGGCAGCCTCGGCCCCTGAGCTCCCCTCCCCAGCTGCCTGGCTTTGGATGCCCGCTGCTCCACCGTCCCTGCCCCAAACTTCGTAGCTGTGACTAATTCCCTCCCTTCACAGCCCCAGGCCCCAGCTTCGTCCAATTCTCGCTGCCCCAGGGCAAGCAATTCAGTGTTATAGGGGCAAGGAGCAAGGAAAATCTCATTAAAAGGGACCTCCTCCTTCCGCCTTTCTTTGTTGCTGCCCCAAATTGTGAGTGAGTCAGTTTCGTGACTGGTATGTTTCTGTTTCTAATTTTCAAGGATTCCCTGTGGATTGGGCTGCTCTAACACTACTGCTGTTAACACTCTCAAACCTTTGGGTATGACTACACTACGGGATTAAGCTGAATTTATATAATTCAAATTTTGAAAACAGATTGTATAAAGTCGAATGCATGCGGCCACACCAAGCACATTAATTCGGTGGTGTGCGTCCATGTACCGGGGCTAGCGTCGATTTCTGGAGCACTGCACTATGGGTAGCTATCCCATAGTTCCCGCAGTCTCCTCCACCCATTGAAATTCTGGGTTGAGATCCCAATGCCTGATGGGGCCAAAAACATTGTCGCGGGTGGTTCTGGGTATATCCTCCCCCCCCTTCCAGGGAAGCAACGGCAGACAACCGTTTCATGCCTTTTTCCTGGGTGAATAGTGCAGACGCCATACCACGGCAAACATGGAGCCCGCTCAGCTCAAGACAGCAGTCATGAACATTGTAAACACCTCACGCGTTATCGTGCAGTTTATGCTGAACCAGAACCTGCAAAACCAGGCGGCGAGGAGTAGGCTGCGGCAGCGAGAGTAATGAGGATATGGACATGGAATTCTATCAAACCGTGGGACCTGGTGCTTTGGAGATCATGGTGTTAATGGGGCAGGTTATAGCCGTGGAACGCCCATTCTGGGCCCGGGAAACAAGCACAGACTGGTGGGACCGCATAGTGTTGCAGGTGTGGGACGATTCCCAGTGGCTGCGAAACTTTCGCATGCGTAAGGGCACTTCCTTGGAACTTTGTGACTTGCTTTCCCCTGCCCTGAAGCGCCAGAATACCAAGATGAGAGCAGCCCTCACAATTGAGAAGCGAGTGGCGATAGCCCTGTGGAGGCTTGCAACGCCAGACAGCTACCGGTCAGTCGGGAATCAATTTGGAGTGGGCAAATCTACTGTGAGGGCTGCTGTGATGCAAGTAGCCAAAGCAATCACTGAGCTGCTGCTACGAAAGGTGGTGGAGTACAGAAATCGATTTAAAGAGTCCTTTATTTTGAAATAAATGGCTTCGTTGTGTGGATGGGTGCAGGGTTAATTCGATTTAACGCTGCTAAATCCGAATTAAAGTCATAGTGTAGACCAGGCCTTTGAAATAAATGAGGAAATTAAGGATGGATTTCAGGGTGATGACACTTAAAGATTATTCCTCAATACAGTATGTATTTATAAATAAACCTGGACTGGCCAGTTGTCCATGTGGATTTATATGGAGATACACATTATTGATAAAAGGTATTATTGTTTTTATGGTACTAAATATGCACATGATACGTAACCCTAAGGCCAAATCTTGTTTTCTTAACTTCATAGGAGTGGCCCCATCACCTCCAATAGAATTTATTCCATGAGCAGGATTTGGGTCACAGCATATGACACATTTCCTGCCTATCCCTGCCATTCAAAGCTCAGTCATTTTCTTTATGGGTTATTAGGATGGCATAATTAGTGAGCTAGAAAGAGTAAATAGTGGTGACAGTCATAAGAGAAGTATCTGCTCAGGAAGGATGGTGTTGACATATCATAAAAGAAAACAAAATAGCAACAAATACTTTTTTAATCTAAGATTTATATTAACTTATGCAATACAGAAATAAAATGGTTAAAATAAATGTGAAAATCTGTTATTTCCCTCCCCATTTGGTCAATATATTTATGACTTACAGATGTTGTCTCATATGCAACAGGCTTTCACAAAATCCTTTAAATCCTCCATAGCTAAAAAAAAAAAAAAACAAAAAAAAATACACCTTTCTTCTGCATAGGAAGGTCTACAAACCCTTGAGACAGGGACCTATTATATATTTGACATACTACACCTTTTATATAGAACTATTCATAGATATGCCACTATTATATTAATAATAATGCTCAGTTAATTATCTGTGCACCGTAATCAGTTCCTGTTGTTTCTTAATTGCTCTGTGTGTTTACACATGCCTCCGACTGGACAGTAATATCCATCTGACAAATTGCAGAACCATGTGCTACATGTATTTGTCATGTTTCTGACTGCCTCATCTGCTTTCCATCCCTTAATCCATCTCCCCAGGACTTACTTTGATATTCCAAAGTAATATCAAAGCCTTGAGCAGCTTCATGTAGACACCATTTTTATAAAAACAATCTACCAGAGAAAGATTGCCTACACATGTTACAGGAAAAAACTAGAGTTTTTCAAATTATTACAGGAACCATTTTTGTATCTCTGCTTGTAAAACTAGGTCATGAGTTCAATTGTACAAGACTAAGAGAAAGTAATTAAAAAAAAAAGTTAAAAAAATAAGCTAAAAATAGTTTATGCATATAAAAATGTTCTGCTTTTAAAGTCCTGTTATCTCATGCCTTTACAGGTCTAGAACAGACTTTTGGATCCCATTGAAGCAGGGAATCTCCCCTAATAAAGCTCCTGTTCTAGAACTAGAGGAAATTCCACATTTAGGGGAGAAAGAGCAATTATGTCTCTGAAAAATTGATCTTGCAATATATTTCAAGGCAATACTTAAATTTTCCCCCTGTTTTTTTCCTCATCTAGTGTCACGGTTATTAAGTCATGCACATATCTGGGTATTTGTTTTTAAATAACTTGGATGAAGGTTGATTCTTATTCTCACTGGTTTAGAAAACATGAAGGTTTTCAGAAACTTGTCTCAAATGCACAGTATTATGTGCTTTGACATATTAAAGGATTCTATAGCATCAACTAAAGCTGTCTACTTTTAATGTCTTTTGCATATTATATACAGCAAAAAATGAAGGATAGCTTTAGTAACAGACAGGAAATACCCTATATCAAGTTCTCTGCTGGTGCAACTCTTTGGACTTCAGTAGAGTTAGCCATCAGAGACTATGTCCCTCTAAATTTGTTGATTTCACATTACAATCTAGTTTCAGTCCCAGCTTTATTTACAGTAGTAGCACAGTTATAAATTATTATTTTTAAACAGGCTTTTCTGTTTGCAATTTGTAAAGGCATTTCTAGAGGAAACTTAAAGATACATACTTTTTTGTAAGAGTTACACTTTTTTAAAAAAATTAAGCAATCTCCCTAAAAAACTTTCCAGTTTTCCTTAGATTATTGGACCTCAATATTTACAGTATTCCCTGCACCTACTGTAGAGAGTATTTAGAGAATACTTCAAATATTATTTATTAAATAGAGCAAAATAAGAAAGTTTTTAAAGGTGACCACTATAAATGTAGGCTTCATGAAATTCCTAGGTTAATACACAAGGGTACTGAAATCCTCTGTTTCATCTCATTGACAATGCTTTAAAACCAGAGGGGACAGGTTGTTGCTCTAAGCATCATTTTTTATATATCTAGACTCCATGGAACCATGGAGTGCAGTCCAACTTGTGTGATTTAGATCATCATTTTTCCAAGGTGGATAATTTGCAGTTTACTGTGCAGTGATCTTTCAGATAAGACTTTAAAAAAAACAAAGTTGTGGCTGATCTGCATAAATATAAACCAACATGGCAGTTTACGGATAAAGGTTTGCTTGTCTGTTCTAGGCCAAAATTGTCCCTTCCTCTTACTATTGCAGCATTCTGTGTGTTGGTTGGTTGCTACTCTCCACTTCAGAGATGGCTGCACTTCAGTGATATTTTATGTATATGGTTTGTGAAGAGGTTTGGGATAAAAGAGGGTGTGTAAATTGTGAAATATATTAATTTTCAAAGTTCTCCATTGTAAAACTTCTACTGGGATCATTAAAACATTGGGCAATATATCTCAACCCCGATTTGAAGGACCATCGGTAGGCATGAGAGAGAAGTTCAGTCTGCTTGACTTTCTTGACAAGATTGACAACAAATGTCAGTTATGAAAGATTTTTTTGAAATGTGGCCACCTGTCCATTATGAAATTGACTGAGATTCTCAACTCACTTCATAAAGACCAAGGAGTAGTCTTCTAACAGTTATGACTTTCAGTCAGTGCTATCAAACGATTTAGTCTTTTGATAATTAATATAAAGCATAATATA